CCACTGATAAGCTACTACTAAATATTGTAGAAACTTAATTTTCTGTAAAGAAAAAGCGCTATACAAATAAACTTGAATTATTTTTTTTATTTAAAAAAACAAACAAATAAAATAAAAAAATATAATAAAATAAAAACAAAAACAAATATATATTAACCTGTTTGGGGTTGAGATTTCCTATTCAAATAAAATAAAATACAAAAAAATAAAAACAAATCAAATAAAAACAAAAATATTAAATAATTTAATTCAAAACCAATCAAAAATAAATATTTAAAAAAATATTTATTAACAGCTGGCTTTGACATACGGTTAAAAATAAAATGCTTTCAATTTGTTTTCAAAATCATAATATAGAAAAAGAAAGAATAAAAACTACAATCAATTTAAAAAAAATCTATAAATTTTTTTTTTTTCAAATTTTAAAAAAGAAAAATTAAATGAAAAAAAATAATAAAATAAAAACAAAAATCTTAATATAGAAAAACAGAAAGAAAGAAGCATAACTGAGCAGGTTATTATGTTTACACATCAATTTAAATGGCCTTAAATGACTGAGATTTTTAGGGGCTTCACAGATCACGTCGTTATAATCTGTAATATTTTAATAGAAATCTTATGCAAACCCAGTTTTGCACTTTCTGACTCAAACGAATCAATTTAAATCTTTTGTGTGAGTTTCTCAGATTATGATTCCTGGTTTTTATGGTCTGTAGGCGTCATGAAACAGAGATGAGGAGCTTGTGGAGTTTGTGGAGGGCTCGTCACACACGGCACAGAAGTATAAAAGAGTTTAGTGATTCGCTTTGATTCGTTCGTTCGTGTCGCGACGCTCCAGCTATAAACACTGCTTCAGTGAGTTCTGAGGTATCGAGTTCCTGAAAACCTGGACCAAAGATTGCATCCAGTTACAGCTGGTCACTTTTAGAGTTTCATATCTGATATATCTATATAGAGTTTTCCATATATATTTCATATAGCTTCTTTTCTGCAGGTAGAACAGAAAGTGAGAGACGGAAGAAGAGACGGAGAGAGAAACGTGACGCGCAGACGCAGCGATCGCTTCCGCTCAGAAAACACAGGCACATTCGATTCCTTCCTGATATCAAATATGAATCATGAATCCATCCGTCTTTGAGCTCAGAAACACAAACCAGATTCACGCAGGACGAAAACCATGCGGTTAGTTTAACGACGCATCTCAGAAAACTCATCCAGATCATATTTCACCACAAAATCAAATGAGAAATTAACTTTCTAAGGAACTTAAGTTTATTAAAGGCCATTTTTTGTTGGTAAGTGGTTGCAAACAAATTATTTTAGCTACATTTAATAAAAAAATATGTTGAAAGTTAGTCAACTAAATTTATTTAAATGTAGCTAAAATAAATTGATTGCAATCACCTTAAAATTTAGTAAATTCAATGAATTGTTCAATTAATCAGTGCATATCAACTAAAATAAAACCCATTAAAACATTCGTTTTTTTTTTTAAATAAAATAAATGTTAATTAAAAAAAATATATACTAAAACATTTTTATTGCAGGCAGCTGACAACGCAAATTTTTTTTTTTTAGGTAATTTAAGTTGACTTGAAATATACTAAAATTGAAATAAAATTTCCTAAAAATATATAAACATTGTTTAAAAAAAATGACAAAAGCACAAAATTACTAAAACTTTAAATACAATTCAAATGAAAACAGAAAATATAAATAAAAAAGATTAAGATTTACTGTTATAGTTGTTATTAATATTTGAATTAATATTTTGTTTTCATTTTAATTTTAGTTAAACTTTTAGTAATCTTCTTGTGCTTTTGCCATTTTGGTCATGCTTTTGAATTTTTTTAAAACAATATCTATATATTTGTAAGAAATTTTATTTCAGTTATACTTTATTTCAAATCAATTTTATTTTAACGTTATATATATATATATATATATATATATATATATAACCGCAACCATTGACTTCCATTCTAGGGAAAAGAATACTATGGAAGTCAATGGCTACCGTCAACTATTTGGTTCCAACATTCTTCAAAATAAGATATTTTTAAGATGATATTTTGTAGAATGGAAGTCAATGGCTACCGGCAACTTGTAGGCCTTCAAAATAACTTATTTTGCGTTCAAGAGAAGAAATAAAGTCATGCAGGTTTGAATAACTTGAGAGAGTGTAAATGAAGACATAAATGTCATTTTTCGTTGAACTTTAATCCCTTTAAGGTTTCTTTTGAACGACAGGTTCAATTTTGTCCCTCGTAACGTCGTACAAGGGGTAGGTAAAAAATTGTGCAAGTAAAAATAGGGAAATACAATCAAATTTTTGGAAGAAGCGCCAAACGTTTAAGGTTCAATGTCCCGTGAAGTCAGAGATAGGAAGAATAAGCAGAATAATGCCCCGTTTCACTGATCGGCACGATACTACATCTGTTTACAGCTATTTACATCAAAGGTTTCTCTTGTTTATACAACACAACTTAGTAGCACTTCTTTTTTTTTGTGTATTTTTTCTTTTTACTTCTCCAAAAACATCTTTCCTAATCATAAAAGCCAACTTACATCAAAATATGCTTACTACAAGTCAACACAACTAACAAAATATATAACAGAAGTCAAACACGTAGAAAATCTGAGGTATTTCTGGTCTGAGGTGGTCTGTGGTTCATGAACAATAACTTCTTTTTGTCCTTTCACAACTAATTTTATTGTTTAGAGTTGCGCTCGTTCGTCTCGGAAGCCTTGTGAATGTCTGGTGACGCACGGTTGCATCTGAGGATGAACTTTACTGAGAAGATACAGAAAATATCACGAGGTTTCATCCAAACAGCAGAAGCAGCACTGTGGAAACTCGCTCTTGAATTATGGCATATGGAAACGTGGATCACTAGCCACTTTTAAGACAAAATAAATATCATTCTTGTGTTTTTTGTCTTTGCTAATGAGTCAAACGTCGCCTGGTCAAAGTGACGTTTGACGATCTCTAGTTTTGAGCCCCAAACTGAAGTCTCAGTATCGTCGGAGGTCAGATCTCAGATTTGGTCCCTGTTAGAAAGAGAGGTAATACATGAAGGGACCCGACCAAAACACACCAAACCAAACACTTCCCGGGTGAATCGCAGAAAACAGGGTCGTATTTCAGCTTCAAGTCAAAGAAAAAAAAATAAGAAATTGTATTTTGCTTTTGCCTATATTTAGATATTTTGCATTGTTTAATATTTTCACAACAATTAAGCACATTTCCGCCCAAAATTATCTTTAAAAAAAATTAATAACTTTTTTATTTTAATTTATAGATTGCAGTATTTGTTGGACTGCCTGAACCGATTAAAAAAAAATTAATTCAGCTTAATTATATTACAGTAATAATTTGAATCAGCATTGAGAATAATGAGAATTACCAAAAATCTGAATTTGATCATGTTTTTATATCTTTTTGTTCAGCACTTTTAATTAAAACCAGCATTAATTTTTATATTACAGTAATAAGAATCTAATTGGAATCAACATTGAGAATAATTAGAATTACAAAAATAATACAAATAATGCTAATAATAAGCAAAACAAATTATAATAATAAAAATTAAAAAAAACATCTGGATCGCGATGCATTATTACAGTCATGAGAATTTAGGGTAAAATGTTTTAATATTTAATATTTGTTGTACTACCCGTTTTTAGAATTAAAATCAGCGTCAATTATTATATAAGAATTTATGTAGTCAACATTGAGAACAATGAGAATTACCAAAAAATTTATAAAATTAAAATAAAAAAAACAAATCATCAGGATGCATTATGGTCATTAGAATTTCGGGTAAAACATGTATAAATCACCAGCATAATTAAAGTATTGCAGAAATAAAATAAGCACTGAGAATGATGATATTACCAGAAATAATAAATTGCATTACGGTCGTAAGAATTTGAAGGAAAATGTGCTTAATTATAATGCCACAATAAAAAAAAAAAAATCTTAATGCTCCTAAAAAGCCTTTATTTTATTTACGACAAATATCATTTCTTATTTTTTTTCCCTTTGATTTCGGGGGGTTCTGACCCAGAATTTCACCCTTCTGAGTCCAAAACACATGTTGCATTATTACAAGAGAAACTAGACAGGAAAAACCAACACTTACGTTCATACGGGCCAAACTTTTTATGGTCTTTTTTTCTATTTTCAACAAACTCTCAGCACCAAACACGCACACACTCACTCACTCACTCGCGCACACACACTCACTCGGTCTTGCATGTTTAGTGTTAAATTCATCAGGGCTATATTTCTCTCTGTCCTGTAATGACGTGGGAAAGGCAGTCATGGACCCCTTGACACTGGATACCTGAGAAAGATTTCCGTACCAAACCTCCCATATTTCCACATGCAAGAGTTTCCAGCCATATCCACTCGATAAAAGCCCACCACAAAATAAAACCCGAAACAAAAGAAATAAAGAAAGAAAAAGGAATTAGTCCAGATGTCTTCTCCGTTGTGTTCCTCAACACCCGTTAGTTCCGTAAAAGACACGTTTTCCGTAATTCCAAACAGCACACTGTTGGAAAGAAAAAGAGAGAGAGAAATAAAAAGCGAAATCCCGGCGAGGAGGTCGGGTTGCGCGTGTAACAGTCATCATGATCCTCGCGGGGTTTGCAGCACTGTTGAATCTTCAGATGAACTGGTTGCTCGTCGATCCGAACGGAAAAACCAGAAGAAGATGAGCGAGAAAAATCAACGGAATCGGCAGAACTGAAAACGTCGAGGTACGTGCACCGGTCAGCATTCATTTGTCGGCACCTGAATGCATGTTTAAAAATCTTCTGCGTTTGCTCTGATGATAAAAAATACAGTAGAGAAGTGTGCTGGTAGTTACTGATCCGATCAGAAAAATAACAACAACAATAATAACAACAATAATAATAATAAAGTTCAAAAAAAAAAACGCTAGGATAAAATAGCAGCTGCTTCGATGTGGTTTGAGATTCTCTGAGTTTGGAAAGACGAGGGTCAGATGCTGGACTCTTTGGGAGGCAGGTCCACGTTGGTGAGCGAGGTGACGGTGGAAAGCAGGCAGTCTGAGGTAGTGACGCTCGCCAGGCGGCGGATCTGAGAGATTCGCTCCTCCACGCAGCCGGCTGATAACCGCGCCTCCGCGTCGTGATCCCAGCACTCCTCGATCGTCTCGCACAACTGCGCCAGACCCTGAACACAGCATACACATCTGATTTGTCACACACTAGTATAAAAAACAACTACTAAAAATGACCAAAACACACAAGAAAATTACACTATTTTTAATGGCTATATATACATATACATAAAACAAACTACTAAAAATGACAAAAATACAAGAAAATTATACTATTTTTAATGGCTATATATATATATATATATATATATAGTGTAATATATAAAATATAGTGTTATATATAAAAACTTACTACTAAAAGTATAAAACAAACTACTAAAAATGACAAAAATACAAGAAAATTATACTATTTTGTTGAAATGTTTACAAACATTATAATAGACACTGTAAACATAGCTAGGTTATTTTAGTTCCCCTCACTCCACAACAAAGCCTTTCAATTAACAGCCTATTTAGAAAAGAACAAGAACTAAAAATATAAGAAGCTATAGCAATATAAACGACAAGCCAAAACGAATTCATTTCGGCTAAAACGAAACTGAAACCAACATTGTGTCTCTCATTCGACACAAAATCAAATGTTTCCGGATTCGCGATGTATTTGAATGACAAAATATTATTTATTATGTACTTCACTCGCGTTCCAATATCCACGTAAAACTAAATGTTTTGCATAACATCACAGCAGTGCAGTGATAACACTTAACGGCACAGATTTTACTACATATTTAAACTGAGCGGTGTGTTTTTTCCATATGTTTGACGGACTATTTTATTATGATAATGAACAGGCTGCATTGTCAAGGCGTGCGTGCATGCGGCACCGGCACAATCACTTGAGTTTTTTCCTTCTAACAGTGGAAGAAACTACTCCTTTTAGTCATAAAGATAATCGGAATTGCAAAAGGTTTGCCTTTGTGTACATTCACAATAAAAACAAATCTTTGTGCTTTTGTAAAATTAGCCTAAAGAGAAATAGGATGCCACTTTCTGCCGTCTTGGTTTCCTTTCACGCAGCACAAAAATGAACCGAAACTCTGCATACTAGGCTACTTGTTGCACAGTTTTTCTTTCATTTTCTTAATTTATTAAGTAAAATATGTTTCTCGTATAGGCCTGTTTATTCGTTATATATCCTAGCTTTATTATGTTGTTCTCCGCTCGCAGAAGTGCTGCAGGTGCGTGATGTGATGCATGTGAATCCTCATGTTCTGTTGTTTGCTTTAATTAATTCCTTTCAAATTTAATTCAATTCTAATTTAAAATAATCTTGTCGGTTAACGGTTAACAATCGGTTAACGAGCGTCAGTTGTCGGTTAGGAAAAATAACCGAAATGAACATCCCTAATATAAAGTTAATCAGTTTTTGTCATAACGAGCCGTGATGGTGCTACGTGACGAGTGACGGTGGATTTTCTCAGGTACTTGTGCATTCTGTACAATATTACAATTGTTTAATTGGAGATTGAGTATAATTTTTGCATGACATAAATAGCCATGATGAAAGGAATAATGGATAATTTATATGGTTAAAGATCAATTATTTTTTATCAACCCATTTAATCCCATCGTTCATAATAGTGACCATAAAGAAGGTTTTCATTTATAAAGCTCTAAAAATGTTACTGTTTTAGTGCATTTTCTGCAAATATGGAAACAATTAAGGGTCTCAATTAAATATGTGCAGTGTCACGTGGTTAGTGCAAACTGTCACATGACCAGTAACAATCGGTTAACGAGCGTCAGTTGTCGGTTAGGAAAAATAACCGAAATGAACATCCCTAATATATAACATACTACTAAAAGTATATAACAAACTGAAACATTAAATATGAAATGAACTGAAATTGTTAAATATAAAAATAATAATATATAATAAAATATTAATAAAAACTATAATAGTATCTCAATTATATTAAAATAGTTTTTTATACTTTGAAGTTCTCTAATATTTTAGACTTCTAGTTTAGCTTTTATAATTTTTACATTGAAATGTTTAATTTTTTAAATCTTAAATTTAAACCTATTAAATTAAGAGAATGTAATTAAATTTTTTTTTAAATTTTTTACTGGGTCACATTTTTGATTTAGTTGTCAGACAATGCTGACAATCACAACAATTTTCACCGTAATAAATATAAATAATAATTAAATAAAAAATAAATTTATATTTATGCATTTAGCGGACACTTTTATCCAAAGTAACTTACAAAAGAGGAATTTAACAAATCGACAAAGAGGCAACAATATTCGTAATATATAATGTCAGGTTTGTTAGAGAACTAAATCAGGAAGCAAGCTTTTTTAAATTGTGTAAATAATAAAAAAAAATTATTTTTGTTAAATAAATATAAGGCTTATTTGTAAACCTAGTGTCAACGTTAAGGTAATAGATGTGCCTTTACTCTGGAATTTAAAATGAATTTTATGCATCTAGTTTACATTTTTGGGGAGAATAAAATATTCTTTGAAAATTAGTCTTAAGAATGTAGTCCAAGAAGCATAAATAAAAATTTGTAACGGGTAAAAAAAATTTTTTTTTAAGTTGTTAAATATATATACAAATTTTTGATATTTATTTCTAGTATTAGTATTATTCTTTCAATTTTGTTGGTATTCTTTATGACTGAAGTATTGTATTATATATCACATGCAATCAAATAGAGGGCTGTTTCCAGAATAAAGTGTGTTATGGGTTTGGAAGCGCGTCACTCACTGAATGCTTGAGCCAGCAGTCTTTAAACGCAGGCCTCATCTTCTTATGAACCACCAGATCCTGAAGATCCTCCAGAGACGGATGCTGGCCGATCTCCTCCTCAAACGGCAGCATGTACTCGTCTACAGGACCTGAGGGAGCACAGCACACAACGAACGTAAGCAGCTGGAACAGCAGTATGCAACAGAGCAGAGCTTAGATGCTCAGAATTGGTCAGATACGATGGATACACCTTTTGGCTCCCTCAAAATCATAAATAATCAAAAAATATTATTGAACAAAAATATATTACATTGATTTTCCTGAAGAAAAAAAAAAAAAAAGCCTTTTGACCGTGAAGGCGGCAAGTGTGACTCCTAAACGAAGAGGGCAAGAGGGTTAAAGAAGCAGTTATGACAAAGTAGTACGTCCCAAAGCTTGCCAACTATTCTGCTACATACTCAAAAGTATGTACTTTTTCTTCACAAAAGAGTACATACTTTTAGGGCATAGTATAGGTAGGCGAATTGGACGCAGCAAAGGAGAACAATCTGAAGCATCTGACTCTCACCGTCTGCAGCTTTGCAGCGCGACACCAGCTCCCACAGCACCAGCCCCACGGCGTACATGTCTATCCGCAGGAAGGCGTCCCGCTGGAAGTTAATGGCCCCCTCCAGCACCTCCGGAGCCATGTAGCGCCACGTCCCGACCTGACCGTGTGTGTCTCCCGGAGGCTTCCCCGGCTCGAAGCGCACCGCCAGCCCCAAGTCCCCCAGCACCGCCGACAGATCCGCCTTCAGCATCACGTTCTTGCTCTTGAAGTCTCTGCGGACGGATGCGTTTCAATAATCAATAGCACCCTCAGTTAAAGCTGTAATAATGACATTTTATTGCAGATTTGGCAAGATTAGGCTGTCAAAAGGACTGAAAAACTAAATTCAAATTTTCTTCTTAAATATGATCAAAATTCGAATTATATTAGAATTGAAAAGGCATAATTTCAGTTAGGGGGAAAAAAGCTTTTGGCTTCTCTCCTGAGGCATCGAGCAAAATATTATGCACATTTCTTCAAAGCGTAATAAAATAACACGACTATGAAAAAAAGTGCATAATGTTTAAAATAATGTTTATAAACATATTTCATTAATAAAGTTGCTTAAACAATTAGAAAAAAAAAAACAGCATCATGCATGTATGTATAGTTTAATACAAAGGACCGAAAACCAATCACAAAGAGTAGGCTACTTTCTTCATTTAAAAACACGAGATGCAGTGGGATGGAGAAAACCGCCATAACGTCTTGAGACATGTTTTTTAAAAGTTGAACTTGCATTCATTTTACATGGCTTTCTAAACATGCCGCTCTCTTGTGCGAGACGCGAGTGCAACGCTGATAGATGCCACGCTAGAAAATGCACGAAAAATGCGTTCTGTGTGAACGGCTTGGTTTTGACGTAAACAACATCTTCTCCACACTGATGCTCTCGTTCTCCGCAATATATGAATGAACAACGTAGCAGCGCCGCATCTAGTGGGTTCAACTGGATAGGCTAACAAAAGCATTAAAATGCAATCAATGACACTTACATCGTCATCGCATCTCGTGCGCCGCTGATAGGCTGCCTGACGGCTGACGCGGACCTTAAATTCAAAAAAATGTTTTTGCATTCGAATGTGGATTTTTTTTTTTTATTCGACAAATATTCGAAATTCTATATTTTTTTTGACAGCCCTAATATATATATATATATATATATATATATACACACATACATACACTGTGTTAAGCTAACAGACACTTGTTATAGCACTTGCATATCATTGCTCTTTTGTTGATTTTGATTGCTTCTATTGTCCTCATTTGTAAGTCGCTTTGGATAAAAGCGTCTGCTAAATGACTAAATGTGTGTATATACAGACACACACACACACACAGACACACACAGACAGACACACACAGACACACACACATATGACCCTGCAGCACAAAAGCAGTGTTAAGTCGCTGGGGTATATTTGTAGCAATAGCCAACAATACATTGTATGGGTCACAATTATACATTTCTCTTTTATGCCAAAAATCATTAGGATATTAAGTAAAGATCATGTTCCATGAAGATATTTTGTAAATGTCCTACCGTAAATATATCAAAACTTAAATTTTGATTAGTAATATGCATTGCTAAGAACTTCATTTGAACAACTTTAAAGATGATTTTCTCAATATTTAGATTTTTGTGCACCCTCAGATTCCAGATTTTCAAATAGTTGTATCTCGGCCAAATATTGTCCAATCACCTGATCAGCTCCTAATTCACGGCTGCACGCTAGTTGGTGCCAACCAACAATGCATTTGTCCTCAGATATGCATCTTGAATATGGTCTGCTGCTCAATATACAGCATTTAAATTAAAACAAACTATCTATAATGCTTACAAGAAAACATCTAGCATTATGCCACATTTGAACATTTATGTAATTATTAATGTATTTGCTTAAAACCCACTTTAAACCATCATCGAGTGCTTCTAATAACTTCCGATTGTGATCTATAGTTGATTCTATGATAGGCAGACATGCACTGTTTGTATGTTTAATAACACCACACTGCTTATTGCCAAAAACATCCTTTATTGTTACAAAAGCGTCATCGCGCCGAATTTTCACATAAAATTTCATAAATTTCATAAAATGGTAAACCTCACATTTCAGCCTTTAAATAAAGAAAAGGGTTAAGTCGAAATGATAGCTGATTATATGCATTTTATCTGCTCCATAAATAATTCTAGATAACTTATCCGAATTGTTTAAATGTGTAGAATCCACCTGAGCTTGTTTTTCATCAACCGGTCAAAATGCATGCAAATGAACTCTGTTTTTAGTCCAGACAGAAGCTGAGTGTAATGCAAGTCTCTGTAAATCCACTCTCTGACAGCAGGTGGCGCTTCTGGAGCAGCAGAATTACAGCGGTTTCTCATAACCTCCAGCGTTGCGATCAAAACACTACTTTATTAGGTTTTACACGGAGCGAAGATAAAAACACAACGCCATCGAATCTTTTCTGAAGACACAATATATATATATTATATTACCACAGCAACTATAGAATTACCACAACACATTAATTCAAGTACTTTACTATAGTATGGTTCAAAAACACTATAGTATTTTTTCACGTGGGATGAAACGGTAATACTAACCGTGGGGAATTTTATCATGATTTATCGTCAAACCGTAAATCGCTGCGTCCCTGGTCTGCGGTTATCTCTGTAAGATCAGCGTGGTCTCGGCAGCAGACGGCGGGTGTTAAACTCACCTGTGAGCGATGGCCGGTTTAGGACCTTCTCCTTTACAGCGAGGCACGTCCTCGTGAAGATACGCCAGACCGCAGGCCATCGTCTCGGCGATGTGACACAGATCCGTCCAGCTCAGCACGCTCCCCTTCAGATAGTCCGTCAGCGAGCCCTGATATTCAGAAATAGCCCGTATATGACACACACACTGAAGACTCTGACGATAAATACAGCGAGCATAAACAAACACCGAGACAAATCTGCGCAAAATGATTCCCCTCAAGTGTGATCTTTAACCATTATAAATTGTGTTAGTATTTTGAATTAGATTTTGTGTTTTCATTGTAATTTTAGTGAAAGTTTTAGTAATTTTTTTTTTAAGTTGTTGTTTTTGTCATGTTTATGTCTATTTAGCTTTTATTCATTTAAATTCAGTTTTAGTTATTTGTATTAGTCTTTAAATGTCTATATAGTTTCTATTAATTTTTTATTACAATTTTGGTTTTAGTCATTTTATTACAAATTACAAAATATAGAACAGGTTTTTTTTTTAATTTTACATCTGAATTTTTTAAATATCTAATATATATATATTTTTTAAATATAATATATTTTGTTTATATTTTCTCTTTTATTTTATTTATTTATTTTATTGACAATTTTAGTACTTTAGTAGTTTTTGTCATTTTTATTATTAGTAGTATTTTATAAATGTCTAATTTATTTTATATCAGTTTTAGTTATTTTAGTACAGATATGACAAAGCATAAAACTGATATTTTTACCGTAATTTTTAACCTACTTCATATCTAATATATCAATTATCCAATGCTATATGTAAGTCTCATATATATATATATATATCAGTGCTGTTAAATGATTAATCACAATGAATCGCATCCAAAATAAAAGTTTTTGTTTACATAATATGTGTGTGTACTGTTTATTTATTATGTATATATAAATACACACACATACAGTATATATTTTGAAAATATTTACATGTATATTTATATCCATATAATTCATTTATTATGTAAACAAACTTTTATTTTGGATGTGATTAATCGTATGACAGCACTAATATATACATATAAATACACACACACACATATATATATATATATATATAAAGCCAGGCTTTACAGTGTTACATTTTCAGAGTTAAATGTTTCAAATGTCTCAGTTTCTCATATATTTTCCTGAAGTCTGATGACCTCTGACCCCTCACCCGCTCATGAAACTCTGTGATGAGCCAGAACTCCGTCTCCAGGTTGCTTCCGCGTTTCTCGGCGGCGATGAAGTGCAGCAGGTTCTCGTGCTTCATGCCCGGCGTGGAGAACATGTCGCGCTCGTTCTGCCACGACTGCTTGTCCTGTCGATACACCACACACAGCTTTACACACCACACACACACACACACCGACTGAGCCCTGAGCTGGCTTGTGTCTGTATCGTCTACCTGAATGGGGAAGATCTTCACGGCTACATAATCATTCATCATCTGAGCTTTCCAGACGCAGCCGAAGCGTCCTCGAGCTTTAACCTCCAGCAGCTGAAGAGGCTTCAGACCCAGCAGCGGCGAGGGAGGAGACGCACCCGGATCCTGGAAACACAGCAGAAAAACCCCATCCGTGATGCCCTTTAACCCTTGTGCGGTGCTCGGGTCTGTGGGACCCGTTTCAGCTTTCATCAAAAGAAAAATGACAATTAATTATCTTTTCAAACTTAAGACTCATTGGCCTTGTGAAGAACATATGAATAGTTTATTTGCAAAAACAGATGAAATTGTGATAATGCACAATGAAAAAAAACATGATTTTTGAAGTTATCTGCTTTTGCAAATGAACTCTTCATGTGTGATCCTGCAGCACAAAAGCAGTGTTAAGTCGCTGGGGGATATTTGTAGCAATAGCCAACAATACATTGTATGGGTCACAATTATACATTTCTCTTTTATGCCAAAAATCATTAGGATATTAAGTAAAGATCATGATTTAAGAAGATGATTGTACAGTGCTTACATAAATGCCTCCTTCATTCATAAAATGGTTTGTTTGTGTTGAATTAAAACCCAAAACTGCAGCAGGTCCACCAGACCCATGAACACTGGCTAAATAACAAAATATGAACACCACACAAGGGTTAAAAGCACCACTAGATGGAGCCGCAGAACGACACAAAGCGGAGACGCTGAGCGAGCAGAGAGCGAGCAGAGATTGCTGTGAGACAGACGGACCTCGTTGATGTCCACGTGTCCGTAAGGAGGCTTGCGGTGCCGGTACATCCAGAAGCACAGCAGCAGCGCCATCGAGAGCATCGTGACGGGCAGCAGAGAACAAACCAGCAGGTTCAGGAGCACCGGCGCCGGCGGAGGAGGCTCGATCACTGACGGAGACAAACAACAACAACATCCTTCTAGTACACAAAATACATACTTTAAAATTACAACCATTAATGACTATACATAAAAACAAATACAGTAAATATATTAGAAAAACAAACACCAACAAAAATAAATGCAGAAAATATATTAAAATTATATATAATATAATATAATGTAAATAAATTAAATAAATTATTTAAAAAATAAAAAGACAGTATATTTAAACAAAAATAAATAAATTAAAAATACACAAATGACACAAGACAAAAATAATTAATATAAATACATAAAAAATATATAAATACCAAATAACTGAAAAATAAATGAAAAATAAAAATAAACAATACATTAAAAATATATAAATACCAAATAAATGAAAAATAAAAATAAAATTACAAATCAACAAACATATTAAAAAAAAAAATTATTAAAATGTTATTAAAATACATTATTTAAAAATAAATCCGAAAATAAATTCTAAACAAATTTAAAATAAATGCACTAATTTAATTTGTTTAAAAATATAGCAAAAATAAAATAAAATAAATAAACGTTTATTTAAAATAAATAAACGCGTAAACAAATAATAAATACTTAAAAATAAGGAAATTAAAATAAATAAATAAATTATCCTTTAAACACAGCATGAATGTTTTGGTGACTGTAAAGAGTGCATGCATATTTATGTTTATGATGGTCTTCAGACTGCACACAGCAGATGAGCAGCTCGTCTGAGGATCTCTCACCTGGTCCGCCGACGTCAGGCAGGTGCGTGAACCTCTCGTTGCAGAAGTTGCCTTCGCAGCAGCAGAAGAACACCTGCGGGTTTTCCTCGGTGGCCACACACTCCTGTCTGAGAGAACCAGACTCAAACGGTCAGAACACAGAGCTTACTATAAACACTGCTTCAGCGCTAATAAACAGCTCTTCAGCAAGAGACGGCAAACAAGACTTCATGAGGAGGAAGAAGAAGAATTAAAAAGAAAGCTATTATGTAAACGTCAGATCTCAAAACATCCAGACGATTATTTATTAACATTAAACAATTTTTAAAAAATAAATAATATTTTATTTAAATAATGATGGCTACTGAAAACTATTATTATTAATAAAATAAGTTATATATTAAAGTAATACACATTATATTAAATAAATGCAAATTAATTCATTTTTAATTCAAATAATGTCTATTGACGAATACATAAAATATATAAATATATAATACAAATATAAAATAAACAAGTAAACAAATAAATAATATAAACAAGCAAATAAATAAATAATTTTATTTCAATAACGATGGCTACTGAAATCCATTATTATTATTATTAATAAAATAAGTTATATATTAAAGTAATATACATTACATTACATTAAATTAAATAAATATAAATTAATTTATTTCTAATTAAAATAATGTCTATTGACGAATAAATAAATTATATAAATATATTATACATATAAAATAAACAAGTAAACAAATAAATAATATAAACATTTAATTTCAATAATGATGGCTACTGAAATCCATTATTATTTTAATTATTATTAAATATTACTTTAAAATATATATTAAAGTAATATACATTACATTAAATAAAAACAAATAATGGACAAAAAATAATGTCTATTGACTAATAAATAAAATATATAAATATATAATATAAATATATATAAAATAAACAATTGAACAAATAATAAAAAAAATATATATATTTTTTCAATAATGATGGTTACTGAAATCCATTATTATTAAAATAAGTTATATATTAAAAAGTAATATATATTACATTACATAAATACAAATTAATTAATTTTTAATTCAAATAATGTCTATTGACTAATAAATAAAATGTATACATATATAATATAAATATAAAATAAACAAGTAAACAAATAAATAAGTCTACTCACAATATCTGCTATGTTCTCATGGTTTCAACATTTTATCTGAAATATCTTAATGACTTCAAGAAAGCATCTGGACAATGTATCACTCTTATTATTATTCTTAACTGTATAGCTTTATTATATTTAGTCACATTTGCTCTGAAATGTCTTAATGAGTTTATGAAACACACTTTTTTTTTTTACGAAAATCACAATGCGTCTTACGGTCAGGAAAATAATCCTAATAGGTCCAAAAACATGGCTATTTTCTTCATGCAGAAGATGTTTGTGTTTCTTGTGCGTTTGGGTGAAACGTGGTCTTTTCTTCTTGAATCCAGCAGCTGGCCTCAGCGTGAAGCACGGTGTGAAGCACACTAGATACACAGAGGTTAACCGGTCGAAAACAACTCGTTTAATTAACCAGGGTCAGAAAAGGTGGAATGTGTTTATGAAAAACTACAATATGGAACACAAAACAAAGAAATAAACAGCTTCGTAAGTGTGGAGCACAAGCTCTTTGTTTCTGTGGTTTTTATGGCGCAGCTGATGGCTCTGAACAAGAGAACCAGCCAGAGGCTCAGCATCAGCCACTTATTAAAAGATTACTTCATTTCATTTCTATACTCGTATACAGTGCTGGGGAGAGTTACTTTTAAAAGTAATGCATTACAATGTTGCGTTACTCCATAAAAAAGTAACTGATTACGTTACTTAGTTACTTTTTATGGAAAGTAATGCGTTACGTTACTTTAGCGTTACGTTTTAAATCTGGACAGTGCTTGCTTGTTTGTTTTTAAAATTAAAAAGTTATATTTTTGGCAAATATAAAAGCCTTTCACACCAAACGTGAAATGAATAAGCCTCAGGCTGAAGGGAAAGTACAGTAGAATGCAGAAGAAGACATTTCAACACACTTCAGCAATAAACAGACACACAAATGTTTGTCTAGAGTAATTTGTGATTATTAGTACGGTTGAACTGCATCATCGAAGCTCAGAAGCTAATAGAATGGGATTAAATACATAAAGCATATTTGTGTTGTTTAACATTTAATTATTGCAGGTTTGCGTCATATTCTGAGTTGCGTTATTTTTATTCATTTTGAGGAATACTGAATCTGTGTTTCTTTTGTGAGTGAGATGAATTAATGCATATTCATATTTATTTTAGAGCTACAGTAGCATCTGATTTCTGTCACCATGGCAACACCAGAGCTGTCGATCAATACATTTGAAAAAAAGTAACTTGCGTTACTTATTTGAAAAAGTGACTCAGATATTCTCTTGTAAATTAAAAAGTAATGCGTTACTTTACTAGTTACTTGAAAAAAGTAATCTGATTACATAACTCGCGTTACTTGTAACACGTTACCCGCAACAAAAACAATAGTAAAAAATAGTTTAAAATAAATAAAATTAATGAAAAGCAGAACAAAAAGTTTAAAACATATCTAAAATTAATGAAAAGCAGAACAAAAATAGTAAAAAATTGTTTAAAAATATCTAAAATTAATGAAAAGCAGAACAAAAATAGTAAAAAAATTGTTTAAAATAAATCAAATGAATGAAAAGCAGAACAAAAATAGAATAAAAAGTTTAAAACATATCTAAAATTAATGAAAAGCAGAACAAAAAGAGTAAAAATAGTAAAAAAAATATCTAAAATTAAGGAAAAGCAGAACAAAAATTGTAAAAAAGTTTAAAATAAATCAAATGAATGAAAAGCAGAACAAAAATAGTAAAAAAAAAATAGTTTAAAAATATCTAAAATGAATGAAAAGCAAAAGGAAAAATAGTAATAAAATAGACATAAAAAAATAGAGTAAAAAGAAAAACTTTATGGAAAGCGACAAGATTACCATGCTATTGACTTATTTTACCTACAAGATTCACCTCACAACAGGCTTTATTTTCTTTAATCAAAGTTTGCATTGCATTCACATTTACTCATGCAAGCGAGGAACACCACAATCTATTTATCATAAAATCCTCAAAATTTAGAGCACACATTGCTATGTTTAAAGTACAAGATTAGTAATATACTTGAGCTCTATTGTCTTCAGGATTCACCGGGGTCTGTAGTAAATCAGAGGAGGCTCCTTCACTCTCTCTGTGTTTAAGCCAGAGATTTTCAGGATCAGCACGACAGAAAACAATGAACGAGGCTCAGAGCTGATGGCTAAACACAAAAGCCCTCGGTTTGCATATCTGTAAGCGATAACGGAGCACAAGGACGAGCCGTCCTTCAGCGGGCGCTCAGGGTCAGCAGATCTCAGATCAGCGGACGAGTGTTTACGATACGGCACAGATTTGGCAGCGGCGTTCGAGACAGATGTTCCCGCCAATCTGTGCATCGCGGTTGCTAGGCAACGGTGAATGTGGAAGTAGAGCCTTTCCTCGTCCCCGCAGACAAAAAGCCCTTTTCAGTCGAACATGCATCGGATACTCGCATAACAGCGCTCAGCCGCACAAAAGAAAGCATGTAGTAAAACACGAGTCTGACACGCAGGTTATTATGAAGGCAATATCATTTTAGTGCAGCTGCTGCTGCTTTTGCTGCTTTTGGTCAACTAGTAGTCGTTCATTTTAAGGATTAGTCGACTAATCGCACATTTATTAATAAACTATGTAAATCATTATAATGAGCCTTTAATTGCCTTCATAGCCACTAAGCGCTCAAGCACACGTATAAAGCTTGCCACAGCAGAAGCTATGATTATGAATGTGTCAGGGAAAACAGTAAGGAGGCTGCATTAACATTTCAACAATTCACTGATAAACAAGTGCTTTCTTTGTTCTCGGTTTAAGAGATGAAGTCGGCGACACCGACTCGTCATCTCCGCAATGGATACGCGTCTGCATGCATGTTTCACACGGATTACATATTCGGAGAATAATTGTCTTTCATTTGAATTGGTTTATTTGAAAGTAGACCATTCACTCTCTATAGATATTTTGTTTTTAGGTCTGTAAGGCAAACGTTCGCGTAGAGTTTCGGGCTCAAGTTCACAGAGACCGAGACGGCAGAAAGCACATCCTGTTTGCTTTCATTACTTTACAAAAGCGCAATGTTGTGTTATTGTGAGTGCACACAAATAAACGTAAAGCCTTTACAGATTCGAAAGCTGTATTACTCTTATCTGTATGAGCAAAAATGAGGAGTATTTTAAGAGCAAATGACCGCATCTGTCCTGCAGTGAGCACTATTGTTCAGCTTCCACATTCTGCAAACACACTTCAATAGCGCACATTTCTCTAGGTTAACATTAGATTGAGTGGACACGTAAAGCTGCTGCTACTTTCATATTTCAGATAAGCAATATTTGAGGTTTATGAATAATAAGCGAGCGTTTAGATGTCCTGCCCGATGTACTATTACCACATAGACCAGCTGTTAACGATCTCTTCGTCACGGAGTGCGTGACTTCGCTTGTGGATTTTTTTTTTCTGCGACAAAGAAAATTTTGGTCGACCAAGCCTCTTCTGGTTAGTCGACTATTATGCATGCATGCATGCATGAATGAATGAATGCATGAATGCATGAATGAATGAATAAATATATTAGGGCTGTCAATTGATTAAAATATTTAATCGTGATTAATCACATGATTGTCATGAGTTAACTCGTGATTAATCGCAACTTAATCGCACATTTTTATCTGTTCTAAATGTACCTTAAATTAATACTTTTCAAGTTTTTAATACTCTAATCAACATGGGCATGGACAATTATGGATGCTTTATGCAAATGTACATATGTTTATTATTAGTGAAACCATAGTCAACAGAGCATGAAGACTAGACATGTTTCAAAGGTCATAGATGTTTTTCAAAGAACTTGTTCATGTCTATTAGACACATGAAAAAAGAACATAGAAAAACCAGGTTCCCATTACTTCTCTTTCTTTGCACTGAGCAATATTTACACAAGCCTGTTTACATTTTTGCACGACAGGGCAACTCATGTTCTTCTGAACATGCAAAATGTACATTTATTATTACATTTGTTTGCCTCTCTGTGCCCATACTGTATTTTTATGCAGCTAAATTCTCAATAAAACCGTTTTCATTGTTATATTTTGCTGCTTCTGTTGTCAGACAACGGAATGAATATGAAACAGTGACTGAAACGCGACCCATTAAGTCTTCATAACCAGCTCTCCCTTCCAAGACGTTAATCTGCACAAAAATCCTGCAAGTCTCAGAAACTAAATAAGGTTCGTCCAAGGTACTTTTTGGAAGAAGAAAAAAAAAAAAAAGTCGCTAAAGGGGACTGAAAAGTCACTAAGTTGGCAACACTGTTCCATTTCTCCAACTACAGGCTAGGCAGCGGGTCAAACAGAAAATGTGCACTGCGTTAATAAAATTAGTGCCGTTAAAATCAGTTTGCGTTAACGCGTTAACTTTGACAGCCCTAATATATATACAGTTGTGCTCATAAATTTACATGCCCCTTGCACAATATGCACAATGTTAATAATTTTAACAAAATAAGAGGGATCATGAAAATTGCATGTTATTGTTTGTTTAATACTATCCTGAATAAGCTATTTCACATAACATATGTTTATATAGGCTATTCTCCACAAGACACAATAATAACTGAATTTATAAAAAATGACCCACAGCACACACTGAACAATGACACACACCAATGTACATGTACCAATTATCCAAAGCGACTTACAAATGAGAAATGTTTTAGACGCCATATTTCCTGCTATTTCGACAACAAAAATAATTCCAAACACAGCTACAGTGCGGTTTTGTGTCTCTGAGCAACATGACGGTGTTTCGTTCCTGAATGAATCAACCGTTTAAATGATTCGGTTCAGTCGCAATGACTCACTTCTTAACAGTGACTTGCTGCCACCTGCTGGCGCTTTTAATTTCACATTCAGAGTATCTTTTATTATTTAAATAATTTTAAATATCAGTATTCAACGTTTTATGTTTAATATATCAAAATATTATTGATGCATTTGTAACTGCAGGTTAAATGCATTCATGTCCTGCATTAAACAGTGCGTAAACATCTAAATGCCACTTCAGATGCAGCTTATGTTTCTCCTCTGCATTGCAAAGATGAATTATATTGATACCGATTTAATTTGATTGGTAACAGCCCAAATGTCATCTTATTCTCATTCACTGAATAAATGTAAGAATTTGACTCAAAAGATAAATGCATACTTTTACATAAATGGCTGTATAAAAGGTAAAAATCAATTTTAACGTATTGGAAAAGATTAATTTCTATCAGTGTGAACTGACCACCACACAGAATATGAAGAATATCAAATATTTAGCAAAATATCGTCTAATTATCATTATCGATAAAATCCCAGAAAATAGAGATATTATTTTTGATCAATATCGCACACCCCTAGTTCACACACACCAGACCAATCTTTCCTGAACGCGAGACTGTAAACGCATTCCCTTCTTTTAATTACACAGCGACAGTAACTGTTTCCTCATTAGCGTGTAATTGATGAGGTTTGTAAGAGGGCAGAGCGGCGCGCGTCAACACAAACACAGAAAGACTGATCATTCTCACCGAAATCAAGACGTTTACAGCCAATGCAACACAAACACTGATTGCATTCGCTCTCATGTAAAGAGTGCTGACAGACGGCGAATTTAATGCGGTTTACAGCAGAACACGGTTCTCCAAAACCACCTCCACATTCCTGACGAGAGCTCGGAGCGTAATTAAAACCAGACGAGGAAACCGCAAAACACACGCCGAACAAACGAAGCGTCCGAGAGCTTCTGTGCAGCCGGAGAGAACGAAACCACAGAAAACTTCTGACAAAACACACCGCAATTCATAACTGATGAACATTTACGCGGTTATTGATCTGAACTCATCTGAATAATGACACTATTGTCTTCTGTAAAGCTGCTTTACCGTTAATAAATCATTAGCTCTTCCATGAACATGATTTCTGCCTGAGTCCCGTCGGATTGCGGCGGCTGTGCGGATAAAGACCACAACTCCCATGATTCCTCACTCAGTCACGGCGTCATCAAACTACACCTTTGCCTCTGTTTATTATGAATACACACCCTCTAGTGGCGAAAATTACATATTGTGCCTTTAAGGTCCGCTGGCTCTCTCACTCTGAATCCAGGATCTGAGACGTGAAACAGAAGCGCAGCTCGTCTCAAGAACATTTCTTGAGGAAGGAGAACAAGGACTTGGGCCTGTTTTATGACTCTGACATTTACCTGCTCCTAAATCCTGCTGCTTACGAGAGCCGGAGCGGCGTGACGGAGGTCAAGGATGAGTCGTTCCCTCCGAGTCTTCAAGAGAGGAAAGATAAGGGCTCTGGGCCTCCGGCTAATTACTTATATCTTGCTGGATTCCCCATCGATCACACGAGGACGAGCACGTTACTGACTGCAGCGACTCAGTGATTCATCTACAATTTCAGTAGTTATTCCTCCCGCCAGCTCCAAAAAAAAAAAAGTTTCTTTTTTCAGCTTTTGGAAGGGGTTTTATTGATGCTGTTCTACAATATAAATATAATATATCCCATCGGGACACCAGAACACGTTCAATGTTTCATGTTTGATAATGTAACATAGAAAATCAAACATTTTAAAATGAAAAGCAACAAAATATAAAGTCAATATAAAATAAATAAATAGACAAAAATATTTGATAGATAAAAAATATTTTATTAAAAAAATAAAATTAATATTATTTTACTTCATAATTACAAAAATAATATTAACTAAAATAAAAAATAAGACAAAATAATTCAAATAAAATATTTAGAATTAATACATTTGAATTGTTACCATCTAGTTAACTAGAGTGTGTTTATTTAATATATAGAAAATAAAATTAAATGAAAATAATAAAAGTTAATATAAAAACAATTGATAAAGAAAAAAGGCACATACAACAAATGTTATATTAAACATATATTAATATTATTTTAATTCATAAAATGAAAAAGAAAAATAAGAAAAAAATTAAAATAAAAGGAAAATTGTAATTTAATATTCGCTGTTACCATCTAGTTAACTTGTCAACTAAAATAAGATACAGAAAATGAAAATGTTTTTTAAATGAAAAAATAATAAATATAAAATAAATAAACAATAAACAAAAACAACTGTTAAAAATAAAAAGCACATACACAAATAATATTTGAAATATATAATTAAATAATTATTTTAATTCATAATATCAAAATTATAAATAAAATGTACAAATTAAATTAAAAATATATAATGGGAAAAGGCAAATAATTTAAAAAGTGAATTTTGTAATACTTAATATTAAATTTTATTTTAAATAAAATGTTAGATTATTTTTAGAAAGATCTTAGAAATAAATAATGATTTGCTAACCCACTACAAGTGAAGACCTAAATCACAAAATCACTAAAGAAAACACAAATGAAGTCTGCATTGATTCACAATCCATCATCTCCGTTTTAAAACAAACATGCGATATGAAACGTAGCCGGCCATTAAACCGAGTCCTGATGAAAAGAGAAAGTTTTGGATGGAGTCCGATCAAGGTCTGCAACCTTTCATCCTTTACATTATTCACAGCAAAAACACACATCTCAATATGAATCTCTCAACTGCGTTACATTTATACTTCATGATCTTCCAAGCAGCTTTATTCACTGAATTAAGAGTCCAAACACACTCCGGCATCCTGAAGGTGGAGATTCCTTTGCATCTCATAACCCCAAACAGCATTTGCATGAGTGTAGACATGATAAAGATACCATGTTTTGCATGATAATACGAGATGCATCTGATGAGCCACAGTCTATACTCACTACTGCATACAACACAGAACACGCTAATCACACGCATAATCACAATACACACGTCTGAGATTATCACACTTCATTAAATAACACTGTGATACTCCTACATGCAACTGAAGGACTTTTACACTGCACTGATTGAGACTGGTACATTTACATTCATGCATTTAGCAGATGCTTTTATCCAAAGTGACTTCGATTGCATTCATGGCATGCTGTACTTTTTAAGCAATTTATGTACTATTTGTGTGTTATGGTTATTATACAGCAGTCTAAAAAAAAAAGCAGTTAAATAAATACCAATGCACATGAATTTGAAACTTTACTTTTTGAAACCGTTTTCTGGAAATAAGCCTGAGATTAGCAACTTTGCAAGAACTGGAAACTGAGATTCGGTTCTTATTCAGAAACTGGTTAGATTTTGTAGGGATTCAATTTAAATTGGTTTTTAAAAGTGTTTAAAAACATACAAATGGGTTTTACATTGGGTTTTAAAAATATACAACATGGTTGTAAATTGTTACTTAAAAAATGTTTAAAAACAAAAAAAGGTGTTTAAAACAAATGTTTTTTTAAATGCGTTTTCCAACTTTTTTTACAACTTGTAGTTATAACTAAACAAAAATGAGCTTAAAAATGTTTAAAACAAAATAAAAATGTGTTTAGGAAAAAGGTTTGTAAAAATGTACATCTAAATTGTTGCTAAGAAACATGTTTTAAAAATTTTTTATAAACAAATGTTTAAATGTGCTGCAAATTATTACAAAAAAAATTGTTTAGGAAAATGTTTACAATTATGTAAATTGTTGCAACAAAAACAAACATTTAAAAAGGTTTATAAACCACACATTTTGAAACAAAAACATTTTAAAACATGTGTTTAACGTTGCTAAAAACATATTTAAAAAATGCATGTTATTAAATGTGGTATTTTCACGTGCTTTCAGATGGAGCAGCATTTACTACACAGAGCCGTAGTTCACTGAGAAGCTATGCAAACAGCTGTCATTATCACGAACGATTTCTTCGATTTCATAATCGCGCAATAAAATCGTCTGCGATTTTTTTGCGTAGCTTGTCAGTGAACTACGGCTCTGTGTAGTAAATGCTGCTCCATCTGAAAGCACGTGGTGATGATTTACTGCTGATCACAGAACCGGCTTTACTAGCAAAATGCACGTGACAATCGCATTCGATTAATCGTGCAGCCCTAATCCTGGTCTTATTATGAATGATTCATCAGTGTGCGTTATTCTGAAGTGGAAAAAAAAAGAGTTCACAATATAATCGTGCATTGAATATTACCATTATTATCACGGTAATTCTTCTGAAGATTTAGTAATAATTTCAAAAGGTTGTACATTTTAAACACATTTTTATGCTTCTAAACATTTTTTAAGACTTTTTTTTTTGTTTTCAAACATTTTTTGAAACACGTTTATATTTTTAAACATTTTATAAATGCCTAAACATACGATTCCATTGATAATTCTTGTCG